TTGGGAGGGAGGGATGTGAGGAGAGGAAAACTGGGAGAGAATGAGGGAAGGGGTGACACTGTTCAAAAGGAAATGTGCTCATTACCTGACTTATGTAACTGTAACCCTTTACAATACAATTTTAAAAATAAAAATAAATTTAAAATGCTCATTTAATGAAGTTCTGATTATTTTTGAAATCCAGAGACAAACTGCTCCCTGTCTTTCAGTAAAGCTAGCTTAGAACTGGTGATACATATTTGCACAAAACCGTACTGCAGAGGCTTTGTGGTAGAAGCTAACTAGATCAACACTAAGCATTTCTTCCTGGGCATGTGTTCCCTGCATCTGGTGTGCAGCCATGTGATTGGCTGCAGTCACTCCACCAGGAGTGGGCAGAGGATGATGCTTCCAGGCCTGATCTTAAAAGCAGTGAGTGCCTGAACACTCCCTTTCACTTTTGTGAAAGGGAGGCCAGATATTCAAGCTGGAAAAGTCACAAAATGGAAAGATCCTGGATCTCTGAGAAACCCAGAAGATTCCAGGTCCTAGGAGAAAGCAGCCCCAAAAATTTCACAATCAACTGAGTGAGAAATAAACCAATGTTGTTTTAAGTTGCAGAGTTTTTGTGGTTTATTTATTACCATATCATAATTTAACTCACCCTAATGTAATTCTACTTATTAATGATCATTAGCAATTATTCTATAAGCCACATTTTGGTAAGTTTATCTTCAATTCCATATAATAGTTACAATTTGCAAACTACAAATCATCCATCTTCTTTCTCTCTATTTATATTTTTTAATTTTTATTTTTGGCCAGTCCTGGGGCTTGAGCTCAGAGCCTGGGCACTATCCCTGAGCTTCTTTTGCTCAAGGCTAGCACTCTACCACTTGAACCATAGTACTACTTCTGGCTTTTTCTGTGTATGTGGTACTGAGGAATCAAATCCAGGGCTTCATGCATGTTAGGCAAGCACTTTACCACTGAGCCACATTCTCAGACCTACTTTTTTGGTCCTGGGCTTGAACTCATGGCCTAGGCTCTGTCCCTGAGCCTTGTTTTACTCTAGGCTAGAGATCTACGACTTGAGTCACAGTGCCACTTCCAGCTTTTTCTATTTATGTCGTACTGAGGAATGGAACCTAGAGCTTCATGCATGCTAGCCACATTTCCAGCCCCATCATATATATATGTATATATAATATAGTCGATCATGGGGTTTGAATTCTGGCCCTGGGCACTGACCCTCAGCTCTTCAGCTTAAAGTGAGCACTTTACCACTTGAGCCACAGCACCACATCCGGTTTTCTGGTGGTTTATTGGAGATAAGAGTTTCATAGACGTTCCTGCCTGGACTGGCTTTGAACCTTGATCCTCAGATCTCAGCCTCCTGAGTAGCTAGGATTACAGGTGTGAGCCACTAGCGCCCGGCTCCATCAGATAAATTAAAAACAGAAACAAAAACATTCCCAGTGCAAAAATGTGCTGTGTTTTCTTCTTCTTCTTCTTCTCCTCCTCCTCCTTCTTCTTCTTCGTCATGGGGCCTAAACTCTGAGCCTGAGCGCTGTCCCTCAGCTCTTCAACTGTAGACTAATGCTCTACCACTTGAGCCTCAGTCCCACTTCAAGCTTTTTCTGCTTATGTGGTGCTGAGGAATAGAACCCAGGGCCTCAGGCATGCAAG